TGGTGCGTTATATACAACATATCCTGGATGTTTACAAAGAGATATTTCATCATACACTTGACATACACGTGAAGTTCAACACCAACAAATGACTGTAAAATACTGTAAAAATATCGAAAAACAAAGAACATTCAGGGTCTGTCCAGTGAGTCGGGTTTATAAGTACAGATGAAGATTACACGTGTCGGGTATGGCACTGGCATGAGGAGAGTGACTGAACGAACCTGCTCCCCACCCCTCACCGAGAGCAGCTTCTCCGCTCTCAGATTTTTGCCTTCAAAGTAGTAAAAAGCCCTAAAAGAAGCAGTGCTGGATGCAGGCATGCGGATCACTGCAGAAAACAACATTCGGCCAAGAAAGAGAACAGAAGCACATCACGGGACAGAAGCAAAAAGCAAGAGATGCTCGAGTTCAAGTAGAGCAAAAAAACGAAAAGAAAAAAGACCTCTTTCTCTTTGTGTCATGCAGTGTTTTGCTGCATATCAGGACTGTGAACTCCTGCTGACGTCGTCGCCTCTAGTTGGCCGTCAGCGGCTAGAGAAAGGAGGAAAGACGAGCTGCACGCAGCGGCACCATCTCGTCGCGTCGCATACTGCAGCCACACACTTATTTAACTGGAAACCACCTTCAGCGAAACATACAGGAGCTGAAAGCTGGAATTTACAGCTCCTGTGTGGAATGTGAACACACCGTGGTGGGAAAAAAAGGAGCTGGAATGTAATGGCTCCGTAGACCTGGTGATGTTTCCTAAGTTTTTGTTTTTTAGTAATTATTATTACAGCGCTTCACCTCAAGAGCGGCGGCAGAAATTCAACAGAAATCAAATCGTCAGTCGTCTATAATGTGATGACAATTCAAAGTGTGTGTAAACGTGTTTGGTCCCAAAAGACGGAGTGTAAGGTCAAGAAAAAAGGTGTGAGAACGCGGCCGGAGGTGCCTTGAAAGAACAAAAGGGGAAGAAGAAAGGAAAGGATGCTGGATGGAGGTCCCTGTGCGCCGCCCCGTCCGATCCGTAAGCAGCCTCTCTGCCTCACAGTCTGCTGCGGCACCCAGCGTACGTTCTCAAAGACACCTCGTCTGCAGATCCGTGACCTCCCAGCGCTCCCTCCCACCTCCTGCACTAGCCTGTCTGCCAGTCACAGGATCTGCACCTCCTCGGTTAGATGAGAAGATTGGGGTGCCGGGTAGGGCCTCGTGTTTTGGGGGAAGGCGTGGGGTAGACCCTCACTCCTGCTCCCCCCTTCAAGCAGAGCTCCAAACAAAACCTCTGCAGGGAGACAGCCTGCCGCTGGCAGTGCAACACCGTGCCGCTCCCGGCGCCCCCACCCCGTCTCACTTCTTGACGGCCTGTCGGTAGCTGTGTCTCTGGCCTTCCTGCCGCTGCTTGCTGCTGCAGCCGCTGGCTTTGCTGCTGTTGCCGCCGTCCCTGGTGCTGCTGGCCAGGCTGGCCTGGCTGCTGTCCTGCAGCGTGGGGCTGGAGTGAGCCCTCTGCAGCCCGTTGTCCTCCAGAAGCTGAGACTCGAATACAGACAGGTCTTCCTCGCCGCTTCGGATTTTAGCTCGCAGCAACATGACGTAGGTCCCGTACCGCGTTTTCTATAAAAAAGAAAAGAAGAAAATCTAAATTTAAGGCGGGAGAGTTTCATGTAAATACTCGATTCCTCATTCGTGAATCCAGCTCACCTCAAAGTCCAGGTACTCATCTCGCTGGCGGTATTCTTCCAGCTCGCGTCCTTTCACCTTGCGGTCAGGTGGATAAGAGCGCAGCTCGGCCAGTTCAGTGGAGATGGCTCTGAATCGAGCTTCATGGGATCTGACCTGCTCCTCCTGAGAGCACAGAGTTAAAACCAAGATTATGAGAGGAAAAACTTAAAACTGACCCAGAGGTGGAACTGATTTCCTGGTCGAGCATTTTATTGGCATGGTTTGGGTCTAAAGTGAACTAAAGTTTAACTAAGAGACCATGTGACTCCACGTGGAGTTCTTAAGCTTGTGCACAATCAGACTTTTCTTTTTCTACAACTTCAAGAGTCGCCCCCTGCTGGTGATTAATGGAGGCTTAGGCCACTTTAAACCACTTAAACAGAAGCTACGCTCATCTTTTATTTACTTTGATAGACTCAGAGTGGAATCAGCCGCCTGTCAGACTCATTAAAGTTAGGATACCTCGGACAGTTTCGACATCGTCCCCGGCAGGAGTGGCCGGCTGAACTTCTTCTGCGAGCCGATGGCTGCTGGAAAAGGAGGAGATGAGAACATGGCGGCCACCGTGTTGATCCGTGTGATCCAAGACTGCATCTGCTCCGCGTTCCTGAGATGATTAACACAGACGCACACACACGATTAATTACAAACAAGTCTTAAACTCCAAAACACATACAGTACAAATGCTTCTCCTCTGCGATGCCCGCTCACATCCGCTCATGGCTGGTTTACAACATCAAAGGGATAATTATCAGAGAAAGCAGCGCTGCTGTTAACAAAGAAATTATTTTGGAGCCAATTAACAGATGAGAGAGAGAAAAAAAAGTCCTGTTTTACATTAACAGGCCCATTAAGAGCCCGAGTAATATCAGATCGAATCAGACAGCATCGCTTAAATCATCAGGGAGAGGCGGGAGGAGAGAGAGACGAGGAGAGGAGAAAGGCGCAGAGAGGGGTACAGTATCTGGGACAAATGCAAGCTGCAACTGGAGCACAGAGCCGGTCCTCCTGGGGCCTGAAACATGTGGCCAATCATGTGCCACTTCCTGGATCCTGCTAAGACACACACACACAGACACACACCTTCACCTTCATCGCGCATCCTCTCCATGTATCACTAATCTGTAAGCACATGAGTGCTGCTGAGGGTGGACATTCAGCTGTTATCAGCTATGGCCAGAAATATGTGGACACCATAGTATTGTGAACCGAATCAGCCTCTGCTCATGCCATCGATTCAATAACCCCAAATCCCGGCTTTGGTTTTGTAGGATGGTTGGATTTTACTGATTCATTTTAAAGTGCATCTGGGTCAGAGCAGAAATGTTGACTCCTTATAAGCCAGTGCACAGCCTTATTCTTCAGGTGGATCTTTCTGTCTGTTCCAAAAGGCTGGGCAAGGGTGTAATCAGGGTCCCCGGCTTTAAAAGGACCTACCTGAGGAGCAAAGGCTTGAAGAATGATTTGCCTCATAAAACACACCTTTACAGACTTCTATTTTATGTGATACTGCATTTGAGTTTCCTTTTAATCATGTTTTATAGCCTTTTTTTTTTTTTTACCATTTATGTATTGTTTTCGATTGGCACTTATCTTCACTGTGCAGGGTTTGCGACACCTCTCGCACTATGGTAGTTGGAATAGACTCCAGAATTAAGCACGTAAGTTCATGACTTTATGCAGTTCAGATTTCCACGTGACACGAAGTGAAACAGAACAAAGGCTGAAAGCAAGTTCAGGCGTGCAGCTTGAGCTGTGCTGTGTCACATACCAAACCTCCTCCCCCCTCTGGAATATCAGCGCAGCTCTTTGCTTGCATCGCTTCCTGCAGATTCAACCTCTCCACCACCCCAACATCCACCAGTATCTGTTCATGTGGGCTCATGTAGTTAAAAACAGGGGTGTCCACATACTTTTGACTGTTCAGTTTAACATTGCCAGAGACGGCAAGTCAGCACTAAGAGAAGAGTGGAATAAAACATGGGTGTTTCTTATTTGTTCTTTTTTTTTTAGCTCTCTGAATTTTCTGCTCTGCTGCAGATGTTGCACAGCTGTCCACGCTGCTCGGCGTGGGAGCTATAAATCGTACAGCGTGTGCGTTTGTTCAAGCTCAGAGCATAAAGAGACTCACGGCGCTTGGAAGAGATACACCCTCCAGTCCGCCGTCCGCAGGTAAAACACGTTGGGTCTCTTGCTGTAGTCTGAAGCTTTCATTGCCAGAGAGTGATGGATGGACACGGCGTTCTTCAGGTCCTCATCAGAGAGCTGCTTATCGGGCCTGTACTCCCCCTGGAACGACAGGTATAAAGGAGAATGGTGTGTTGCGGTGCAAACGCTCATTAAAGATGCTGACTATGATCATATTTTATTGGAGGAGTGGGTGACGCTTATACACATTTACATGAAGCAACTGATATTGCTCTGAATGTGAGCTCTGTAGGCGTCTCTCATCAGGTTTTTAGTCTAGTTTTAATTAGTTTCTTGTTGTTTGTCGCAGCTATGCAGAGATCAGTGCCTCCTCAGGTTGTATTGACCTTATTATTATTATTAATACTTAAAATAGTTATTTCCTACATATTTTTATTTTATTATGGTTAGTTTTGCATGTACACAATCATCATTCGATTTAGTTTTGATTTTCTTTAAAGGCCTAGTTTTCTTTTCTTTTTTATACAAATTTGTGGTCAACAATATGTGTTTTAACTTTTAGTTTTAATTTTTTAAGTTTAGTTTTAGTTAATTATTAAAAAATCGTTCAACAGTAAGAATAAAAATATAAAATATATATTATATACCTTATTTGAGTTGAAGATATTTTGGTTTCATGACAGACGTATACGTTTTCATTAAGGAAGAACAAAGCTGTGGACGTAAACTTCTCAAATTATTTTTAATTTGATAAAAAAAAAAATGTTTTTAAATATTACTTGACTCATACCTCAGCTAACTTTAAAGGCTTGAGTTTTGACAGTTCTCATATCTAAACTCTATCACCCCAGTTCTTATTGATTTGCATTGGTTACCCATAAAATATCGC